TTTTTTTTTTTTTTTTTTTTTTTTTTTTTTTTTTTTTTTTTTTTTTTTTTTTTTTTTTTTTTTTTTTTTTTTTTTTTTTTTTTTTTTTTTTTTTTTCTGATGAAACAAGTTTTTTTTGCTCAAGAGCCACCCTGGAGAAACTCTTAAGCCGTAAACAACTGATTTCCTCATCACAGGAGGGATGTGAGCAGGAGCTGCAGCCCTTCCAGCTCCTCCACCAAAAGCCTGGGTGCCCTTGGGCGCAGCGCCCGACCTGTGCCCACCGCTGCCACCCCAGCAGGGACATCCCCACGGCAGGGTGGGCACCAGAGCCACCATGGAATTGTCCTGGCTCCCTGCGAGCTGCTGGCTTTGCAAAGCCAGGCGGTGGGGGAGGAGGAGTACAGATTTATTTCCTACACTCGCCGCTCTGCCCCTCGCCTTTTGAATTCCCAGGGATCTTTCCCGGGAGCGGGGACAGGCGACGCGGGCAGGTCCTGGTTTAGTGCCCTCTTCTGGAGGCTCCAGCCGAGCTCCTGCCATCCCATCTGGCACATGTCACCTCCCCCTGCCCCCCCCCCACCCCGCCCCGGCCACGCTTGGCCCGGGGACCTTTCCCGGCTTGGCCTCCAAAACACACCCCGTGCCAGGAGGGAGTTTTTCTGGGAGCTGAGCGGTGTGAGAGATGCTCTGCCAGGGAAAAAGCTGCCAGAGGGATGGATGCGTGGCACAGGGAGACAGCTGGATGCATCTGCAGGCTGGGAGGGCCCAGCACCGCTCCCTGCACCACCAGGAGCTCCAGGTAGGACATCTCCCTGCCCAGGGTGGCCCCCACCCTTGGCGAGAGGGAGGTGTCAGTGCCACCAGATGTACAACAAAATAAAAGCAAAATAAATTAAAAAAAAAAATGGGGCTGGTTTAAGGCCAAATAAGATGGGAAGTTCTGCTGCAAACTGCCTACATTTGTTCCTCTCCCCTGAGCGCTGTCTTCACACCACAGGGCTCAGCCATGCAGGGCTGGATGAATCCACTGGTGTGTTCATCCCACTGCCAAGGGGATAGGTTTATTTAAAACCCCTGAGACACCAAGAACTCATCCTTTGGCTGGTTTTAGGGCTCATTCCCTGGGAATAAGCGCGACGAGCTGCCAGTGGTTCAGTCCGGCAGCACCCACTGGACAGGGCAAGGATGCGATCCAGCAGTGAAATAGTTAAAAATAACCTTCCAAACTGAAACACCAGCCCCCAGCAGACCCCTGCAGCTGCCTGACAAAGGATGACCCAAACGATGATCGGAACATCCGCTGGGTCTTTCCCAGGAAGCTCGGGAAAGGCTGGGAAACTCAGGCACGAGACGGAGACAGCGCAGGGTGGGGATTGCTTGGCCACCCCCCACACACCTCCTCGGGAACAGGGGGATGTGGGGGATTTTCCACAGGGTGGCTTAACTCTTTGGGCATGGAGTTTTTTGGGATTTGGAGCCCAATATTCTGCTAATAAGAGGATTCATCTGGAAAAAGCTCTTTGGTGGGTGTCCCAGTGTCCTTGCCCATCCCTGGGATGCTGCGAGGGGGATGTGGGGACAGCACGGAGCCCCCTCCTCTGACCTCGGTGGGCATGAGGGGCCGGGAAGTGGGGCGGAGGTGACATCAGCAGTGTCATTAACACACTGAGCTAATGAGCCAGAAAACAAATCAAAGGGCAGAGAGAACCCACAGAGAGATTTGCAGGAGGAGCATCACGGGGAGGTGTCGGGGTCTGTTCCAGGGACACTGAGCCCCCCCGCCCAGAGCTGGCTCCCCCCTGCCCCCCGCCAGGGTTGTTCCATGTGGGGTTAACAGGCACGGGGTGAGTCAGGCAGGGACACACCGCCCTGACCTGCCTGTCGGGCTGTGCTCATGTGGTCCCAGCCGGGAAAGTTTGGAAATTTCCCTTGCTGAGGCCACGTGAGGTGCAGAGCTCCTGCAGGGAGGGAGGCAGGGAGGGAGGGAGGGAGGGAACCCCCAACCCAGGGGGTCCTGCAGGTTATCCCATGCCCCAGGGTGAGGCAGCAGGGATGGCATTCCGGGGGTCCCGGCCGCTGCCTCCATCCCCCACCGTGCAGGATTTTGGGAGGGGAGCTGGGAATTGAGGAGCTGGGAGTTGGCAGGCGTTGTGTCAGCCCGGGTTTGAGCAATCCCTTGCTAAACCATCCCCACGGCTGATCCTTATCCCAGGTGGGGGTGATGCAACTCCCGCAGCTCCAGGTGGGGAAGAAGGGGGGGGGGGTGTTGGATGTGCCAACTGGATTTCACAGCCCAGATCTCTCCCTGTTTCCGATCCCGCTACCCAGGCCGTCGCCAGACGTTTTCCAAAGGGTTCCTTCTGCCCTGCAAGGATTTAACACCCCATCCATGTCCCGGTGGAAGGATCCCAACTCTGTTTGCACCAGGGGAGCATCCCCAGCCCGGCACTTCTGGCATGGCTGAACTCATGGCACTATCCATATCCCCGGGAAAGCCCGGGATCAAGGGCCCAGTGGATCCTTACCCAGCGAGGCGTCCTCCTCGGGGCTCAGGGAGATGTGCTCATGGGCTGGCTGCGCGTACAGGCGGACCTGGTAGCGGTGGTACCCGCTGTGGGGAGGGGGCGAGGGCCGGACGTAGCCTGGGGGTGCAAAAGGTGATGGCTGAGCATCCCCTTGAGCTGAGTGGGACCTGCTTCCCACCGTAACCACCCCCTCCAGCTTGGGGTTGCTCTCCCACCCAATGTCCTGCACCCTGGTCAGTGGAAGTTCAGCCCCTGTGCCCATCCAAATCCATCCCCTCCCTGAGTGCCCAGGGGCCAGATTCTGTTTTTTGCCTCCCCTGAAACAACCTGCCCCAAAACCTCCTGCTTCGCCAGCCACCTCCCCCTCTCCTCCTCCTTTTCCTCCTCCTCTTTCAACTTCAGAGCCCTGGGGTGCTCCTTGTCTCCATGCCAGGTGCCCCAACCTCTGCTCCACCCCACCAAACCCCCTCCCCATGCTTGGGGCAGCACCCGCCCTGGTAGGGGACCCCCAGCACCCCACCAGTACATGGCCACCCCTCGCTCTTCATCAGAGACAGGAGGATGTGACACCAAGGGACAAGAGGCCAGAGCTCCTGCAGGGCTCCAGGAGAGCCCCCCAAGCCCCTCTCCCTGCTCCCCTCCGGGGTGTGAACTCCCCAAGCCACGTCTGGCCCGTTTTGAGCTGCAAGTCTTTGTTCGTGCAACATCACAGGAGTCGTCGCGATTCACCCGCTTTTATCTCGTGTTTTCCTTCAGGATTGAATCCCTTCCCCCCCCCCCCACCTCTTTTCTGCACTGGGTTGGAGCGATTCCAACCGCTGGGGAGTTTTTTTTTAACCACTTTTGCCTCTAGGAATTAAAAAGAAGAGAAAAAGGGGCTCCTATTTCAGACAGTGCCCTCCCTCGTGTCCTGGTGTGCCACCACCTCCTCCCAGCTGGTGGAGACCCCATCCCCTCATTTGGGGTCGGCACTTACCTGACAGCACACGGCCCTTGACCTTCCCAACCCTCAGATCCGCACCCTGAAAGGACAAGGAGAGAAGGGGTGAGCTGCTACCGAGACACACAGGGTGGGGATGGACCCCTCCTGCCCCCCCACTGCTCCCCAGGCATTCCTTTTCCAGCATTTTGTGTGTTTTCCTTGTGAGGATCATTAGGGAACAACTCCTCCAGGACGGGTGGGTGTGAAGGGGCACAGCAGGGGGTTCCTTTGGCTATTTGGGATTTAGGGGCTCCATCCACGGCACACAGACTGTCCTGTCACCCACAGTGGAGCCCATCAGTGATCTGGTGATCCAGGGCAGTGACCTGGGCTGTGGTCCAGCGGGAAAACCACGATATCCCTGTGGAAAGCCTGGGTGCTGCTCGGCACCCCCGTGCTCAGGAGGGGTGGGAAGGGGCTGGATGAGGCGATTTGCACCAGCATTTCCACGGCAAAGCCCCTGCTCGGAGAGCAAGTCCTGCTGCTCAGCAGGCTCTGCTCTCCATCCCCACCCTGGGATGCTCCCCTGGAGGAGTGAGGCTTTGCTGGGATGCCCAGTGGGATGGGGGTTGATGGCAAAGGGGCAGCAACGGGAGCTGCAGCCACAGCCTGGCCCCGCAAAACCCACCCCTCACCCCTGACCCGCTGTGCCATTCCCAGCCAGCCCCAACCTCCCCAGCGCTCGTAAATCCTTTCCTACGGCACCCGTTATTCCAGTCCTGCCCACGCACACTGTGCTGCCAGGGCTCCTCCGTCCTAACCTGCCCTGGGAGTTA